CTCAGAATGTCCGGGTGGAGGGTGGACTCGAGGGAACAACATCGAAGATAAAATTTGTTTCACGAACATCTCCGGGATTAACAGCAACATTGATGTTGTTCATCACTACTTGCAATCCAAGCGTCCCGCCATGCTTTTCTTGGCGGAGACAAAAATCTCGAGTCCGCACCGATTAACCATCTTAGCTTACCAAATTACGAGGGGCACTCCGATCTGAGAAAGAACGGGGGAGTTGTGGCCTTTGTTCGCAGCTCTCTTTCCTGCTGCAGAGATGTTTCTCTGGAATCAGATCAGAAGGACATTCTCTGGCTTCGCCTCAACTCCAGGACATCCCCCAAATTCATTTGCTGCCTTTATCGTTCCCCTCGGACCATGACTGGGATGACCTTATTGAATACCTCGCCGTCAAGATCGACTTCCTGAGCATCAATCACTCCGCTTCAGAGCTAGTTCTCCTCGGTGATTTCAATGACCATAATTTGCTTTGGTTGGGCTCAAACAAGACCCATGCAGCAGGTGGTCGTGCGGTTAAAGCGTTCGCTCTTACTCGAGGGCTGACCCAGCTGGTGACGGGCCCTACTTTTTTTGCCCCGCGTCTCGTCACATGCCAGTATCCTGCTGGATCTCTTTCTGACCACGCATCCTGTCCCTTACAGCTCTGCTGTCCTGTCTCCCCTGGGTAACTCAGACCACTGTGTTGTGGAGGTTAGGTTTCGGTCAGAACCCGCTGTTTCAGCAGAAACTTGCACAGGCCGCAAAATTTGGCATTACGGACATGCCGACTGGGAGGGGCTCACAGACTTCTTCTCTACCTTTCCTTGGAGAAATGTCTGTTTCACTAACATGGATGCGTCGGCTGTCTGTTCTTCGATAACAGAAATTATCCACGTCGGAATGGAGGAATACATGTCTTAATTCTTAAGCTTATTACATACTAGTAGATCCCGTTGCGCAATTTGTCTATAGGCAGTCTGAAGACGGTCTCAAGACACGATCTATAGATGGTCTACAGACATCCTTCTTTCTCTTGTCTAGCGTCCATACGATAACGTGAATTTTTTGGTCTCATGTTCGTTTTCGCAATCAAAGACACTGTTTTGTGTGGAGTGGACTGGGATATGTCTCCGGGACCCTCATAATGTTTTATTTATTTTTGGTCGGTTAACAGAGCATTGAAGTTTTTTATGTTTGAATCTTTAATATTATTACACTAGTTAATTATAAATGCCACGTACTTATTTTGTACTCATATAATAAAATATTGGCTTTCTTAGGATTTCTGAGCAATTTCTATGTTTTTTTTTTCAAGCTGGCCTTGACCAGATAGTACACAATGGATTTAAGGAGCAATAATAGGATACATTCTAGAAGTTCCACCGAGGTTAAAAAATGACCAGCCCCAAATATCGTTTGCCCCCCCCCTAGACGAAATCCTGAATCCGCCCTTGTTGTACACATGGAAATCTACAATAAAAAATAATTGCTTTATGTTTATGTGCAAATTGTGGACACGAGATATAAATGATTAAAAATTTGATAACAATTTAGCGTTTTGGTAAACATTGCTACGGTTAAAATTTTATAACCATTCGTATTCCTCAATATTTTATTCAAAACTTCTTTTTCTATAACATTCTAGCAAAATAGCAGAGGTAGCAAAATCGTCCGATGAGCTGGTAACGCCGTAATCCAAGTGGAAAAAATGACAAGGTCATCCGTCAAGACGGATGTCTTTGTCTATCACGGGGTACCGACGGAGTCATTTAGAACGTCAAAGCGGCAATTTTCCAATTTTAATTTTTTTAAGTGTTATGCAACGATTTCGGCAAAAATTTCGCTACGGATAGTCTTCTAGAGTATAGTAGAATACATTTCAACAGTTGCCTAGCGTGGCCATGTTACCTTTACTCGGACCCATTATCAATTGGTGAAGCCATCAAATCATGCCATTTTTTTGAAAACAAAAATGGAAAATTTTTGTTGAAGAAGAAACATAAATACTCTGGCCAAGCACAGTTGGGAATGAGTGTGTTGAATCTGATGAAGTTATATGTGTTTTTATACTCTTCATTTGATAGCAGTTTGGTAGTAATCAACATGGAATTTATGACTTCGTCAGTAAAATGATTGAAAAAAATGAAATATAATTATTTTAAGAACATGCTACAATATGTAAATGATTGTTAACATATTTCTGATCAGTGTCAACCATTTTTTTGTTAATGACATAAACCATTTGAATCTCTTGTATTCATAATCAGCCATTTTGTAAAACCTTAACATTTTATTAGATTAAAACAAATAGTTTTTAAATAATTTCATTTCGGTAAAGAATTATACATAATACACATGCAAGTAAAACTTGCAAGTTGACATTTCTAAACAAAAGAGATTGTGGTGGCTCTTTATTTTGCTATTCAAAATTGAAAGATATTTTATAAGGATCTATTTAATAAGACAAGAAAGTGTGATAAGGATATATAGCCATGAGCTTAATAATGATAATTCATAGTCATATTCATTGATAAATTCAAGAAAAACAAAAGAATGTGTTTTGTCTCTTTTGTATGCTGATAAAAATAAAATGCTTTGTAGGCCTTACTGGCTGTCCTTAGATATTGAGCAACACATATTTGCAAAACAAATTTGGTTTGGGTTTAATTAATAGAATTGCTTTCTAGAACTGATTGTAGTGGTTTTTAGATTCTCTCATCAGAAAGAACAGGTGCCGAGAGGTTGGTAACGCTATAAATTACAGTAAAATCTTTATAAATTTTGGGAACAAGTGACCATTGCAGTTTTCCACTAATAATTTTAAAAATATTTAGTCTTTGGTTTAATCTTTCAATATGAACACGTGCTGAAGCAATTTCTTGATTAAGACGAGCTTCTTCGGCTGAAAGTTGCTTCTTATTCTTTAAAAAGGGTGGCCTAATTAACTTTTATGTACAGCACAAATATCAATAGGAAACCTTTATCCACCATAATGGCATCCCAATTGATTAATAACTTATCGATAAGATTACTTTCCTCAAAAATCATTTTGTCAGATGCACGGCCACCATAAGCTTTACTCACAAAAGTAATCAAACCAGCTGGAGCAACTCCAGTCATGAACTTAACTGTGGTATGTTTTTTGTACTGAGAGTAAAACTTAATGCGGCACCACAGTTTTGGATATTCATCTCTGTATAATCTAAAACACCTCGACAATTTTGAAAATCTCTAAAACATTTCGGTATATATTTAGATATTTCCTCAGCAGGTGGGAGGTAGAAGAAAGGTTCTAAAATTTTACTTAAAATTTACATAACTGGCTAGAAATATTGAATAACACAGGTAAGATATAATTTTAATTTTGTCATTGTGAGAAGTATTCTTTCATGCAGGCTAAGCCTATAAGATCTTATATCCTGAAGGAATTATACCACCTATGCCACTATGCATTCAAATATTTCAAAATTGCTGATCCCTGTGAAGCTTCTTAAAGCACTGTCTGTTACTAATAGGACACTCAGTGTTGACATTTTGTCAGTATTAACTTTAACTTCGGAATAACGAAATGAAAGTTGCTTATTTTCAAGAATACCATCAATAACACTTTCACTTATGTCTTGGCCTAGGTTAAATAATTGTAGTAAACCTAGAGCAGTTTGAATTTCCTCCTCAGAATACTGCAACTCTTTATTCAACTCGACCTCGCATGGGGCTTCTTGGGATGCTTCAGTTTCCAGTTTCCTCTTTTTATATCCCTCTGAACGACTGCAAGAAGGTTGGTTCAACAGCTTCTTAGACTGCACTGAAATGTTTTCAGTTTCTGAGAAAGAACAGCTGTTTGTTTGTTTCCCTGGAAGAAAACATACACTACTGTAGACATCTAGTATTTTAATGGGAATCCCAAAAACAATCAGAACACCAATAAAATGTGAAAGAAAAACTTAATATATGAATATGAGCTAATAAATATTGATAACTACCTTTTTTAAAATAATCTCCTTTTTGGAAATGAGAGCATACTTTCATAAATGCCTTAACTGGCTTTCCAATTTGAAGTTTCAAAACCCACACTTTTCTTCTTTCAACCAGTTCTTTTCCCAATTCAGTTTCAAAATAAACTTTTTGTCCTTTCTCTGGGGGAATTGATGACAGCTTAATTCCTCTTCAGCATCCTTTTTGGCCCAAGAATTGCATTGCGCAATAATAATGATTCGAGGTCATGATTGTGACCGTCTACAGTCAACAATACAATTTTTTAATAAAAACCGATTTTCAACGTAGAATACCGCAACTTGCCGGAAACCAGTGAAAATTTACATGTAAACTAATTGAGCAAAGGCAAATTAAATTTACAAGAAACTAGTTTCTTTAATTGCGACCAGATAGCGTATCGCTTAGCTTGAATCCCCAATAAAGGCGGTGGTCGAATATCAAGAAGCTTAAAGCTTATTCAGCAAACAGAAAAAAAATTCTGCTTTGGAGCCATGTTTTAGGGCCCACCGAGAATAGAAGATAATTACAAATCTTTAACTTTTGTCATTGATCAATAATCTCGTCTGTGGTTCTCCCTAGCTTTCATCCTTCCAGGTCTGTGGGATCGAAAATTAAAAATGCTTATAGCCTTTTTTGCTGGCGCTTGAACATTTACAGCAACTATTAGTCTGGTTTACATTGATACTCTCATTCAAGTATTTTTCACTACCATTTTTCTACAGTAGAAAGAGGAAGAATCTGCCTGGAATAAATACTGCTCTCAATCTGACCTAGTTAGATGAACACAGGCTTCTTGGTTTAGTTCTACATAGTGATGAACTGGTTGTTGCAGCCGCTCTTTCATATACTTTTATAAAAGTGGTGAAACCTCCTCAATTTCAAAATAAAACTTAAGCTGGAAATAACAAAATTATAGAATATCTTTTTCTAACAAAAATTCAAGGGCCCACGCAAACAGGCTAAAAGCGCCATTTTTGATAGATAAATTGTTTATATTTATTCGAATTCACATTATATAGAGACTACATGTATTAGTCATTTAAAAATATCTATCCAACTAAAAATATACAAGTATAATAAAAACATTGAAAATAAAATTGCCTATATTTCCAGTTGAATCAATTAAAAAGTCTATTTACAATAAAAAGATTTACTATCATAAAATCACAATAAATATAACAGGGTGTTCATAACTTTTGCCTCTCCTCGTCTCAACATTCTGTCCATTTTTCTCTAGATATATTTCACATTTAACACCTATACAACCACTATAAAATGGATTAAACTGATAACAATTAGAATTCGATATCTTTATTATGCAGCTTTTCCAAATATCAATCGCATTTTTCACATTTTTCTGGATTGATATAAATAATAAATAATAAATAATCTCACGTAGCTTTGTGCAGCTTGAAATATTGTTGGGGTGTAAAAAATGCCACCAAGCGTCTAATGAAAGTGCTGTAGTCGAAGAAATGTATGAGGATTCTATTACAATTTTAGAGCCAATTATGTTATTTTTGAAAATTCCTTAAGGTTGGAAGTTCTGACTACACCGCACCGCATCATCTGGATCAAATTCCTTCATTCCAAAAAAAGGTTATAAATAATCTGTCTACAATATAACATTTAGCAGCGTATTTTCTGTAGCAACACCCTGTATACTTAAGATTTTAGAGATGGATTTGTAGAGCGCAAAGATATTTTTTTGTAGAATGATTATCATCATCACATAACAGCATTCATATGTAACACAGAAGTACAGAAGAGTTTGATGCTAAGGCAACACTCACATTTAAGGTTCCTTGGCTTTTCATCGAGTTAATTTGAGCTCATAATCTGAAAGGTAGAATTCAAGCCTTCTGCAGACATTGACATTCAATGTTTAGCATCAACCAGAAACACCAATCGTGTGCAGTACTGTTTTTTTCTCACTGGGAATCATCAGTACCATGCAGATCTTTGACATATTAGAGTTAGACATACGAGAGTGGCTATGTAATAATGAATCATTGTGCTACTCCAGTACGGATATCTACAGTCTTTTCAGGTTTTTGTGGTAAATATGTTTACAAGATTTAAAGGGTAGTAAAAATTGAAGTCTCAAGAATTTTAGAAAAAGTAAGAGTTTGTGACTTGGATTGATTTCAGAAAATGTAGAAACGTTGAACTATTTTATTCCCCAAAAATTTTCTTGTGCAGGTAGCTCTAGTTATTATTTTCTTCCACAGTTCCTAAAATCATAAAAGTTAATGAGCTTTTGCCACCCTATAAATTATTCCATTGTCTATGAAGCCGATCGAGACATATGGAGAATATTTCACCATGAACCATGGTTATAAGTTTCATGGTTTCAGAATTTTCTAATAATCAATCAAATAGGTTTTCATTGATATGAAACAGCTGTTGAAAAATTGATCTCAAAAAAGACTGTTTGCACTCTATAAGATTGAACAGGTCTCTAGAATGCTAAGTTTACACCATAGGTCAATAATATCAGTATCGAACAAATGTAATTAATTCATTTGCGTCTCTTGAGATCAAATGAGTATTCTGTTTTGTGTACAAAAAGCGATCACAAGTCGTCGAATACACTACCGCAAGAAAGCATTACACCAAGACCATATTTAATATTTAGGCCCGGTTTTCCAATTTCCGGCAAGGTCAATGTCAGTTTACCACGACAGTGACATGATTTGCCACGGATGACACGAGACATAAATATAGAGCATTACAGAAAGCACAGAAGTATCATCAACGATTACACGTTAAGTAAACAGAACTTGAAAAGAGTTTTCGGGCAACTTATAGTCAATTTCAAAGTTACCCAACTTGAAAATTAACTTGCGATTGAAAACCCGAGGAGTAGTTTTTGAAAAAGAAAAAATATATAAAACAGTAACTTTCTCAGGTTATCTTTATTATCCAAGGTATTAAGCATTCTTGACATTCAGTTTTTGAATATCATTTCTTTCAAATGTAGGCTGGTAATACTGTCAAAGTGGTTTATTCTGGAATTCCAATTTTCGATAACGTGTGCGTGCATTTCATTCATCATTCATTTCACTTCTATTTGGCGACCGTTAGTACACCATGCTTAGCGAAGCCATTTGCCACTGAACCCCAGAATACGTGCAATAAAACGTTACAGATGATGGTCACTCAGAGCAAGAACTATGAACAGAATCAAGGTTTTTGACACATCGTCGACTCCTTCGTATTCCCTGGTCAGCTCAGATCACAAATTAAGAAGTGTTAAGGAAGTATGGTGTAGAAAGACAGCTGTTGGAAATTGTAAAACAACGTAAAGTGGGACTATTAAAAATAAAGGTACCGGCAGATTACGTTGGTCGAGCAATATAAGATGATGGTGTGGTATACCGGACGCCGCAATAATTTACAACCAGCCAAGAAGAAATCTTGGACATTCTACAGCCACTGAAGAGAATGAACAATGAAATACACTATTTGCTACCTGAAATTTGATCCCACAATCTTCAAAATACTTGGTTCTAACATGACGGCGTGGCGCTGCTTGCAACACTGCTCGTGAAACCATGGTTGACTGCGACAAGAATTCGGCGAGCAGCTAATTTTTTGTTTTTATTGGTGCATTAGATGAACCGCCTAGATTGTGTGATTTTACACTTCTAGACTTTTTCCTTTAGTCTATGACTACACGGATAAGAGAGTGCGATCGAGGAATTAGAAATTATTATTACTCGCGTTATTTGCAAAATACCACTCGAAATGCATAAACGCCTAATCGAAAAATGGAATTCCAAAAGGTGCCTATGTATGAATGTGTCATTGTATTATAGTTGATCTATAGTGATCATGGTTAGCAAACAGATTCTGTTCTGTGATATATTCCCTGACCCAGTGTATGAATACTTTTTTGAGACAATGTATTCATAGTAGGTAACATTTCAGAGACAAAAGCTGTAAGAAAATGGTAACATGAGGAATACCCAGCATTCTCTTTGTAGGCCTAAATCCATAACACTATCTACATCAAAAAATCCATAGTTTAGAGTTTCTTATTAAAGCTAGTTATCAAAGAAAGACGTTAATAAACATATTTTTGGACAACCATAATATACATTTCAACATTGATTAAAATATTCTCAAAGATGTACAACGATAGTGTATTTTTTGTTTACCGCCGAATTTCGTTGTCACAGGGCATGTTCAATTTTATTCTTGGCTTTTAGGAGGCATCCTAAAAAGTTTTTGCTTCCGGCCCCGCGGAGTTTATTTTCATCCTCGTAGCCATGTTGTCAAGTAGTGTTGCAGTAATTCCTTCAGAATCAATGAAAACGGACTCCATTTTTCTTTTAAGGGAAATTTTTTTATTGTTAATCATGGCATGACACATGGTCCAATGAAAGATCACACCTCGACTTCCTTCGCAAATATTCTGAAGATTTCGTATTCTCAGAATTCATCAATGACAGAAAAAGAAATCCGCTAACCTGCGGCAACAGTCCGAGATCTGACAAAGCTGACACCTAATAACGGAGGTCGACAGGTATGACTTGCCAATACTCCAGTATAAGATTTCTCAAATAATTTTATGAATAAAAGCTTATATATATATATATATATATATATATTAATTTAGTTTTGAGTTCTCCTAGTTGGTGCTCGCCGCTCTATGGCTTCAACTTACGACAGAATGTTCAATTGTTAAGAGAAAAGTTTTTTATTTTATATATTCGAAGGTACTTTAGATATTATTTTGAATTAAAAAGATATAAAAATGGCATATTTTAGTGCAAAAAGTTATTGTACTGCGTCCCCAGTGGCGCCGCAAACATCTCGTGAGTTTTTTACGAGACGCTAGTAAAGAACTGATATTTTTTAAGGTAGATATTACTTCTAGTTAACTTCATAATTTCCACATAAACTCTTATTATTTTCTCCTCAGATGTACCATTTTTTAGTAAAAAGAAAAAATGGAAATTGGTAATATTCACGCTGAAAAATATCACTCATATCACTTTTTTTTTTGTAAAAGATATCTGCATAGTGATATTGTCATATTATCGAAATTGTCATGATCGTGCATATAATCAGTCATTTTTTTAAGGGAAAACTGAGCATGGAATTGAAAAAATCAAGCGTTTGCTTAGAAAAAAAAATTAAGAGAAATCAGTGGCGTCCGAACAAAACTGGCGATTATTAAAAAATATCGGATGTGGTATTTTAGAACTTAAAAATAAATTTATTTTGAAAACTTTACCACACTGTATCTCAAAAGTTGATATGAATTTCTTTATGAGATGGACCAAAAAATCGCACCCTTAAATACTGACATTCTATTACGAAACGCCCTGTATCGAGCATTTATAAAAAGCAACTATGGGTTTGCTGGGATAGAGAACATTATTGGATCTAGGCCTAATAGATTTGATTCACCCTGAAATCCTACCATCACCTGACGACTTAGACAGTACTGCTAGTTCACTCTGTCTGTATCTTTTGTATCTGTGACTGATCATCCCTTAAGTAATTTTATATTCGTTTTAAAACCTACTATTAATATAATATTTACACAAGGATACATACGGAGACCTTCACTTAGAATTTAAAAATATTTACAATTGATAAAGTTTTGTTTGAACAACGTATCTCGAGATATATTTGGGAGATTTTTAATTTTTTTAAATTAAAAAAATCGAAATGACATGGTATGTACAATTGTTAGGAATCAAATTATATGTTCAGTTCTAAGAATAGGCCAGTGTCAGAAAATATAAGAGAATAAAGTTGAAAGCAAATATAACAGGAATAATTGAAAGTCATGATACTAAATGAAGCATTCTTTTGTTTTTCCAAAAACTATTTGAGAGACTGTATCAGAAAAGTTATTCACCCTCAATGTAAGTCAGTAAGAAACTCTACATGTATTTCCCAAAAAATACATATTTAGTCATGATTATTACAAGTGTTACTCATGTTTTCATTGTTATAAAACTGTCATTAATATGACTGTAAGTTAGAGACTGCAATAAACCTATTTACTCAAGATGTAATACAATAAATTAAGTAATAACTCATCATTGATAATAATTGATATGTTACGATAAACTCATATTTCTAACTTGAAATTTTAGGTAATTTGGTGGAAGTTCTAATGTTGGTTTAGAGATTTTTTCAAAACTCGATGAAGTATGTTAGTGATCGTAAAGCTGTTATCATTTTTTTCAAATGAATGTGGGACTAAAATTAAAACAGTATAACGACTTTATTATAAAACAAATGGATATTGAATATTACACTAATTTGTTGAAGAAATAATTAACAGACTCTAAACTCACAGTCAGTTCAAAATTATTTAAAAACGGAAATTTCCAAAATGAGAACTATTAATAGCAGGTGATATTCCTTTGTTGATAATTCCATAAAATATAATATAATAAAATTATTTCAAAACAGGAAACAGGAAATTAACATTTAACATTTTGTTAATAATTTTTCCAAAAAATTGCATAAACATTTATAAAAGGCCGTTACTACTTTTTCGTGGTCCTTTTTTTAAATAAAATAATTACTATTATATAGAAAACGACTTTTGGATGATATGACTATTCGAATCAAAATATTTGCACAACGTCTGCTCATAAATTCTTACTAATTTGCTCTTTTTACCCGTAACTGGCCTGTCTAGAAAATGAAAATAGCTTCGATAAAGCCGTCCATATAGATGAAAAAATTATAATAATACTGAACACAAATCTGGACAGGATAACCACATTTATCCACTCAAGTTTTGCGTTTGATCGACAAACACTGAACCTGAGTGGGAAGATAGATGCTTAGTCGCGTCATTGTAGTAGGGAATGCGAGAAATGAAAGTATTGGTGGATTATTGTGCCAAATTTCAACTAATAATATTCAAAAGGTCTCATTTGAGATTTAGATTAAACATGGATCAACATTTTTTTCGTCGTGTCATAGGCATTTTCGAGTCAACAAAAATTCTTATTTTTTACTTAACTGAAAAGTTGAACATATTCGACTTTTAATGCATAAAAGGACTGAGAAATTAATACGTAGACGAGCGAAGAAAAAAAAAACGCATTGAGAAAACGACACTTAATTTTGCAAAAAGCAGTGACGTACAATCTATCAAACACAGCTTTTCCATATTATTTTGTGCTAAATATGCCACGTTTTTCTGACCATATTATTGTATAACGCACAAAAACCTTCCAGTACTTTCCTTTCCACCATTTTTACATGTTTATTTTTTTACTACAAGGACCGGCCTAACGCGGAACATTTACAATCCCCATTCTAAAATAATTACAAGGAAAAATATGACGCGGACTTGACCGCCACATACTATCAAGAGTCTGGCACATTTTTACACTTACATATCACAACTTCACTTAAATATTTCTTGATTCTGGGGCCGAGTCTCTATATGTCGGCACTAGTAGCTGAACATTCAGAATTGTACAGGTAAGTATCGGAAAGGACATCTTGCATCCGGTCCTGGATTTGCTTACAGAATGCAACAAGATGCTGAACAACAACTGCTGTTGCCTCCCTTGCTTTTCTGTCGTTGATCTGAAAAATATCAGAGGAATGTCAATATTTATGTATACAATTAGTGATTTATTTAGATGCACTTTCTTCATGAGCAGAAAAAAGTACAGACAAGTAGTCCGACTACTCTCCACGCAGTTATGGACAAATGGACTTTGAATATGCAAAATGTACAGTATCTGAGCATGTACTGAACTGTACAGAAAATCATGCAAATTTTGTAACCTTCAAGCTCACCGCCTTTGAATATCCTTGTACATTGATATGAGGCAATAAAATAGTAAGAATATTAGTTAAAAATAAATGACGGCAAGTAGGTTGACTCTGCACTTCCTCCGCAACGCTATCATCAGTTTATAGATTATTATGTTCGGAACAAGTCAGCTACGAACATGTATACCAGCAAGATTAAACGGATCAAGTTAGTGAAACAGACTAATACAATCAAAATTTGCATATTTACCATGTATTATGCACAATTTAGGATTTGGCTCCCTGAGAAAATATGCAGGAATTTTTGGAGGCAGTTACGATTTCACATACAAGTTATCTCTTGTCAATGTATGGCCCTCCTCCGTTCCCTGAGAAAAAAATCATGTGGGCGCATATTATCGAACCTACGCACGGAACCTACGTGTACATTAGGCGGGGATGGCGATCGGTTCACATCGAGAGATCACTTCACAAAACACATATTGCCCTCTCCAGACTCCCGCGCGAACTACCCGCGACCCATGAGTGTGGATCCAATTCGCGTATTCTTCGCGGCTTATATTATCGAACCTACGCACGGAACCTACGTGTACATTAGGCGGGGATGGCGATCGGTTCACATCGAGAGATCACTTCACAAAACACATATTGCCCTCTCCAGACTCCCGCGCGAACTACCCGCGACCCATGAGTGTGGATCCAATTCGCGTATTCTTCGCGGCTTCACGTCGCGTTCGCGCGTTGTTCCCGTTTGTTGTCGGTTTTTTGTCCCGCGACAAAGGGTTCGCAAGGCGCGAACATGACTAAAAATAGGCTCCTCATTCGCTGGTGGGTCAATTGCCTCGGAGCGAGTGCCGGGAGTGGTTGTGCGCCATTTTTGAGTAAAAAAATAAAAACCGTTCTATTGTCCGAGAAAATTAATCTAATAATTGAAGAATGCAATTTAGCAATAAATATCTAGTTGGTCTGGAATATGTCACTGGCTGTTGACATCTGACGAGTCTATGTTATTCAAATCTGTACGCTGTGACATCTTTTTCATTATTTAGTTTTTGCGCTGTGACATCTTTTTCATTATTTAGTTTTTACAATTTTGTTAATAATGGTGAATTATTCAAATGCAGAAATGGCGACAATGTATTACGTATATTATGGCCTTACCGACGGTAATGGTGAGCAAGCCAGACGGATTTATCACCAGAGAATCCCGATCGTGCTTTGCCAGATGGTCGAACCTTTTCTAATATTCATCTTCGTCTTGTTGAAAGTGGTTCTGTCCGATTTTCTTCAACAACAGTTGCCTTTGCTGCTTGATGATGTTCCGTTAGTAATAACAAATGATATGTGGTACATGCATGATGGTGCACCAGCGCATTTCAGTGTAGCGGTTCGTAATTATTTACAAACTTTTTATCCAAATCGTTGAATTGGCCGCGGTGGGCCCCAAGAATGGCCACCAAGGTCTTCAGACCTCAACAGTTTAGATTTCATTTTGTGGGCTATCTTAAGACACTAGTGTACACAAGTCCCATTAACACTGTAGAGGAATTAAGAGAAAGAATAGTTGCATTTTGTGATAGAATAAAAAACACTCCAGGGATATTTCAACGAGTGCGCAATTCCATGAGAAGGAGGGCGGAAGCATGCAACAATTTTTGTAATCATTTCGTTGGCTTTAATGTTATGTTTATGTTGTCAGTTGATGTTGTTCATTACCCCTAATGTATTTAATTTTTCCAATTAAATTAATAATAATTTTGCATGTTAGACAATAGAAAGTTTTTATTTTTTTACTCAAAAATGGCGCATCGAAAAAAAGCAACTCAAGAGAGATCATTTGTTTTAAATTGAACGGGGAATTCAAAAATATTTTTTATTTGGCAAAAAAACCATTGGCGTACCATTTTTTTCTTAAAAAATATCGAAGTCAATACCCGACGCATGCCACTGTTAAAGCTAGAAATTATTTTTGCATTGAAAAATATGCACCTTTATTAACTTTCACTACGTACTAAATATCAGTAAAATATCTGAAGCGGTTCTGAAAATATTAATTAATTTCCATTTTTTTCCTAAAACACCCCGAGTTTTTGTAAGGAAACATTTTTGGACCATAGTTTATAAAACAAACTAACATTAATTTTTCATGCAGCTTCACACCCTTAAATATTCGCATATATATATATATATATATATATATATATATATATATATATATGTATAAGTAAAACTAAGACAATTGAAAAGAAGTGGAAAAGCCACCAGCGAATGAGGAGCCTAGTCATGTTCGCACCTTGCGAAACCTTTGTCGCGGGACAAAAAACCGACAACAAACGGGAACAACGCGCGAACGCGACGTGAAGCCGCGAAGAATACGCGAATGGGTTCCACACTCATAGGTCGCGGGTAGTTTGTGGCAGTTTTCGGGATTCGCACCGCGATCCGCGCCGCGATTTCACGCCCTGATCCGCGCGTGAGTGTGGAGAGGGTATAAGCATAAGACTTCACATTCAGTCGAGCAGCGGAGGCCGTTTGTTACGCACGTTCATCGGCAGGGTAAACTCGCGAGGCTCGGAAACATTTCTCCACGATTCCAAGTTTTAGGGCTCGCGCAGACAGACAAGCGTTAGTCCGGTTAATTCCTCTTAAGAGTTCTAACACTGACAGGAGGCAGTCACGAATACCGCGTTCCCTTTTACGAAAATTACTTATACGTGTAACATGCATTTCAATAGTCCGTCTTCAGAAGACGAAGCATTGCTTTTATGGAGTTTCGAAGAGTCTAAGAATAAAACAGATACTGGGTACATCTGATTGATTGTGTGAGAGATGAAAAAGGAGAGTTCTTGTTCTCTTTCCTTCATTGTTTGAAGATGAAGAACGATTTTTTATTTACTCCGAATGTCATTAAGTAGTTTTAATGAACTGCATGATTATATAACAGAGAATAGAGGAACAAGACACCAACTGGAGAAAGGCTATATCTACAAAAGAAAGATCGGCAGTATTTTCTCATTTCCGTGACTATTTCAAGTCATGCTGCATTTTTTAAAACTATTTTCATAGTCTGCGTTACTGCGTTCCTTCACTAAATCAATTAATTTTCACTTTTTTGCAACTAGCTCCGCCACCATTGGGTCGATTTTCAAAAACTATAAAGCTTTTTCCTCCTTGACATAGTAGTAACCTTGTGTGAATCACGACCTCTTCTCGGCTGTTAAGGTAAACAGTATATCTCGCGGATTTTCACCCGAGATACACCGGCAACGGCTAGCTTACGACAGCTTTATATAAACAATATTTCTAATTCTGTCTAAAGGGCAAACATTCGGGGTAATGTATGTCTGAATATGCCTAATAGGCACGTAGCATTACTTGGGATTAGAAGTTTATAAATATACTACCGTCAACAAGATGAAATGCACCCTCCCCCACCCCATACAGACCCACATCCCCAAACTTATCCCTCAAATGTTTTTGAAAAATGATTAGGAGTCTCTGAAACGATAAAACGTGAAGTTAAATAGGTTCTTTCGTGGTTTGCCCCTAACTCCGCCACCACTGTGTAAATATCTCATCAAAACCCGACTGGTACCTTCCATGTTGTAGATGAGCCAAGGATTAGCGGTCAGATAGACAGACTGATAGGCAGACCCACGGAAAGGAGTTTTTCGTGATGTAGATGTCATATAATTTCCAAAAAAATAAAATATCTCATTTTCCAAATTTTGGGCGATTACAACGTTTCCTCGCTAGAGGCGTGATAAGTAATAAAAAATCAACAGTGCCGGGTTATTATTATTATACAAATTAACCATTCAAATCCTTCCTTTTTTAAAAAATATTTCTTTTAAATGTTGGTCATCAATTTATTAATATGCCAGAAATTTTAGACAGTTTTTGAGAAGAAACATTAACTACAACCTTTTAGCATTAAGTGACTGTACTATGATTAAGTGAAGAAAATAGTGGTTTTACCTTGTGAATTAGGCTCCGGCAGTGTTTCCCGCGGCACCAAATGCATCACTGTTGTCTTACCAAAGGGCAGCCCTAAAGCACCTAATGTTACGTTACTGTGTAAAAAGCGACCCTGGTAGATGAGTCTCAATATTTCAGCCTTTGAAACAGCTTCTTGGCACCAGTCTGAAAATACACACATAATTTCAATATTTTGCCTCCAAAAAGTGCATTCAGCACTTTTTTGTACGAGAATCGGCAAAACTTGCCTTACATAGTTCAACCGTAAAATTTCGCACCAAAGCTTTAGCGTATTAAGTGCTAGCTTTTCGTAAAATTTTCTTACACGCAGCACACAAATAATTTTTCAAATACGATCTTGTCCGACTGCCAGGGTGCAATGAAGGCACTAAGTGCCTGTAAGATTACTTCGAGTCATGTATTGCAATGCACGGAGGCTCTGGATTGCCTCGCAGCGAGGCATCCGGTATCGTTAATATGGGTACCGGGGCATGCTGGGATAAGGGGCAATGAGACGGCGGACACTCTGGCGAAGACAGGATTAGCCAGCAAGCTCGTTGGTCCTGAGCTAGCTCTAGGATTGACCGCGCATAGAGCCAGAAGCAAAATGGAGACGTAGGTTTCAAGACAACACTCTCAGAAGTACAGAAGTATCAGACATCTCCGCCAGGCACGGGAACTCATTGAAGGGCCCAGTGCTAAGGATAGACGTTTCTGCTTATCTCTGGATAGAGCCAACCTAAGGTTGCTGGTGGGACTCATGTCTGGTCATAACACGATAAGGCGCCAGCTGCAGGCTGCACGTGATGGGGATGGCTGAGGATCCCTTGTGTGAGCGCTGCGGGGTAGAGGAAGAGACCTCGGCGCACGTTTTATGTCGCTGTGAAGCTCTGAGCTACTATAGGCAGACTATACTGGGGTCCATTACTTTGGACCCTCAGGACGTCAAGGAGCTTGGACTCAATGCGATTCTCAACTTCGCTGAAAGGGCGAGGCTTGTGATCTAAGGAATGTAGAGGTGCATAAGGGCCCGTTTAAGCGGTATATTTACTGGCTCCTTATGGTGGCCGAAATACCTCTAATTTCACGATTCATTCATTCATTCAGTAACCGTGTGTAAAAATTTCATCGAAACCCGAGCGGTACTTCTCAGATTATAGGGGGTTATAATATTAGCGGACAAACTGACAGACGGAAATGAGTGACATGGTCTTTCATGATGTACATGTCGTATAACATCCAAAAAACATAATATCTCAATTTCGAAATTTTTCGCATTTACAATACTTCCAGCCAGTTGGCGTAGGAAGTAAAACATGGACATTTTAGTAAGACTTTCAAAACATTCCAAAAAGTAACGTGAACTTTTGTTCTCGAATTGTTAGATTATGTCTCAAGTTGGCGACCAAAATCTTTTTAACAATTTCAGTACTACTATAATGTAATAGTATAACTTAATTTTGTTTTCGAGCAATGTGTTGCCAACATTTTCTATAATTATGTCTGACATACATATGTGTTAAGTATGAAAAATCCTTACCGTCTGGCCAGTTGTCAAAAACGTGTTGTGCGATGTCTCCGGCAGAGTCACTTGGACTGAAGAGAAACTCTTTTGTTTTCCCGCTGACGAGAATTAGCCGCAAATTTATCTGAAAAATAAAAAAGTTATTGTGAAAGTCTGCTCAGTTTTAATAATTTAGATTAATATCAAATTCTCAAACTATAAAAATGTTCGTAGTTCGTGCGCTGCGGTGCGCATGATTAGATTGATTTGTGGAGCGGAGGAGAGTGGGGGGTGGAGGTGCTTTCGCCTCCCCAAAATATAGCAACATATGCTGCTTTTTATTGGATAAACTGCAATACTTAGGCCTCGGGGCCTCAGGCCCATATACAAAATGTATTGATTACGTGACCGTTGAGGTTTTGTAAATGTGTTCTTTGTGTCGAATTGGACAGCTTTTTGTGTGCCAAAAAACCTCAGTGGTGGGGCGTTTTTTTACAGACAATTCTCAACTTTGAGGCGACGGACAGAAGTATGTCCAACAATAGTACCTCTCGATTTTCCACATTTTTCTTGGTTTGTTTTTCAAAATCCCACCTGTGAGGTAATTGACTTTATGACGTCATACCTGCTTCAATATAACAAGTGATTCCCTCATAAAATTAATTGCCTGACAGCCAGACCATGGATGAGAAAATTAACCAAATGGCTTCAAATAAATTATGTGATTCTATAGAAGTAAATCATTACTATCTACTCTACCTTCCACATAGTTGTAAAAATTCTAAACTGTAAATCTCAAGCCGCGTGCCGAACTATGTACTGCAAATTGATAAAATTTTTTTGACTTGTGCAAATTTCAATTTGTAATATTGGCAGCAATAAATTTGAATTTTGGAAACGCAATCGGCAACAATACCAAATATTTATAAGCGTGTTTTTTATAAATTTCATTCAATATACATTTTTGGGTGGTAGATATAATAACGTCGACTATTCGACTAGCATTATTTAATTTTACGTACCAGTTTTTCAAGTCAACTACAATAATAAGTCGCGTTATGCACGATTTTTTGTAACAATAGAATAGCATCATCTTTTAGAGCACGATATCTTTCAGGGCTGTAACCCAAAAGGGTATGTTTCAAATTGACCTTATACGCACTTACACAAAAGTGCTTCGAGCAAACCCAAGCGCTTTCTACATTGACTTTATCTTTTCTTTTTGTAAGATGTAACTATTTTTTGCTAAGGTTTGGGTCTTCAGGGATACTGTGGAACTTCATGTCTTTGCAAGGATTCCGTTTCGATTGGTTGACGGAATTACATCCCACAACAGTACACCGCATTTTTATCAATTTATCAACCAGACAGTGCATATAAAGTATGTATAACTGATACAACAAGTCACAAAACCACCAACAAATCGCACTATGTAGTATTATCCACGATACACGTGCACTGCAGTAACGTTACAACAATCCTCCCGCTGGTAACCAGTAGCCGACAACTCTCAAGGTGACGTCACGAAGCTCCGCCCACATGCGCAACATCTTCAGTGTATGTGTATCGTGGAAGATAGGATGTTGCGCATGTGGGCGGAGCTTCGTGACGTCACCTAGAGAGTTGTCGGCTCGTGGTTACTATCGGCAGGATTGCCGTAACGTCAGTGCAAGTGCATCGTGGTTAATACTATATAGTGCGATTTGTTGGTGATTTTTGGTGGTTTTGTGATTTGTTGTATTATTTATACATACTTTATATACCCTGTGTGATTGATAAATTGATAAAAATGCGGTGTGCTGTTGTGGGATGTAATTCCGACAACAAATCTAAACGGAAGCCTTTCAAAGACATGAAGTTCCACAGTTTTCCTCAAGACTCAAATCTTTAGCAAAAAATGCCTACATCTTACAAAAAGAAAAGATAAAGGCAATGTAAAAAGCGCTAGGGTTTGTTCGAAGCACTTTTATCAAAGTTCCTATAACCAAAAGTATCAGCTGACTATAACGACGAAGCTTTAGTGGAAGAAGTAGATGAGCTCGAGTATGACGGGCTGGAACTTTTGGCCGGCTTTGTTTGCCATAAATTGCAGGATGAGAGGTTGAAAAGTTCCTCAAATTAAACTTATTCCTGGTTAGACCATCTTAGTGAGGGGACGGAATAGTGACAGAAAAGCAAAATTTTATAGGCGAATTACTGTTAAAAGGCAGCAACATTGACTGCCCTGAAAAAGCTAAAAAACTATTTTCAGGTCAAGGATGTTCTTCCGGATCAAAGAACTGGATAAAAATTTGAAAGACCAGAAAAATCGTGAATGAAAATGGAGAAAAATTGTTGCTTAGACTAAGTCATTTCCATTTATTGTTATAATGCCAGCTTACTGCAAAAAGAAGATAACTCCATTTTTCTACTTTCCGAGTTGCGTACATTTTCACACTAGCATGTACATACTTAGGATGTTCTGTGAAATAAGGATAAATATAGTGCAGTATTAACGCCATGATTCTGATCCAAAAACATACTAAAATATACGTAATGTAGAAAAATGGAGTTATCTTGTTCTTACAGTAAAGTGACGATATGCTCTATTGCTAGAAAGCCGTTTAAGCTATAGCCTATGAAATAGGAATTACAAAGTTGAAATCATTTATTTAAATCCGTCATTTTGTTGTGTATAAAATTTTAATGTAGCTTGAGTCACTCTCACCCCTAAGACGAATCAAACGACACTTCATATGTGAAAATCCGTCCAGCCGTTTGGTATGAAAATAAATTTATAGTCCAGGGAGCTTCAACAAAAAATAAAAGGTTGGGAAACCCTGCCCTAAAGGGAAACGCAGTTGCCAACTATTCAAAATGGTAGCAGAAATAATATCCTCTATGTTGGGATGTTTTGAAGGGCAGCAAAACTCACACGCCACTTCTTACCCAAGGATTGAGTATCTTATTAAGAATATTTCACTTTGAGGCAGAAACCAATCGGCTCCCATGCGTATATCGCATCTAACGAAAGGTTGAAATGACATTTGAGACTTACTATACTTAATTTTTCTGAATTAAACTATTATGTTTAAATGTTAGTATATAATATTATCCCAAAAATTAAAGCATTTCACGGCACGTTCCATTCCTAGATATTTTCTCATTAATAAAATCTGCATTCAAATGACATCAAAATATGTAGTAGTTTTAGAATAGTTTCCTAGAATCCATTAGTTTCCCGCATTATCATTATTTTTGGAATTTTTCATATTCTCAAAAATAACCTGTTTTTTTTTTTGTTTCAAAATTGACAGATTCAAAGCCGGCCAGTAATAAAGTTGATAATCACCATGAAACTGAAATTGATGCGATGAACTTATTTCCGTATCGTTTCTTTTTTCGTAAAATCGCAAATTTGTAAACAATCAGCGTATCCAAAAGCGTAAATGCTAAATACGGTGCTTCCTTGTAGAAAACGACGTCGAAGTGGCGACAAACAAAAACAATGGAGGTATCGGAGACGCCAACTACTTTCTCGGTTTCTCCTGGTGTTGGCCACAGAAAATTAATTTCTCAGATAGTAGCAGCAGAAGACAAAGAACGATTACGGATTGAAACATACAACAATTGCACATACAGTGTCGCCAACACAGTATCAGAAAATCAATTTCAATGCTATTGGACACCAAATAAAAATACAGTTGTAGAAGTAAATTTTTCTGACATTTCGGCCGTCTCGGTAGCATTTTTCAAAGTACAACATGACAGTTGGAGAGGGGCACGTCCTAGAGATGGAAGCAAAAGATGGTGGACAGAAGGGAGTTGACATGAATTTAAATCATATAATGATTATCAAAACCGGGTTGAGACTGGAGACGCAAAGTTCCTAAGTTGAAAAGGAAGCAGTATTTGGAGCACGTCACATAATGTTCTGCTTCGTAAGTTTTACTTATGAAAACGCTGAAAATATCATGATGTATAATTCATATTTATAGGGAAAGTCCTATGAAATTATAACCATACTGCCTTTGGACAAAATAGCAAGGACATTTCTTAGAAAAGTTGACACGGTAAAAAGTTGTAAGCATATACTTAAACACGCAAACTTTCTTCAGAATTCGTTTGAACTGTATATTTGGAATGTATATCACAAAAATGATGCACAAGGTGACACGAAATTATAGAAAACACGAAATTCACGAGATTCATTACCTAATAGGTTTTTGTTAATTTTTATGATCTGCTAGCTTTCTGTCCCGCGTTTTTACTCTCGGAACGTGTAGGTGGTGTCACTAATGAAGTAATCAAATTTCTCAAGCATTTCATTTCATTTATTCATGCTAATACAATCGTCATAACATAAAACAAAAAAGTCTCATCATGCATACTTGGTACACACACCTAAAAGTTTTGATCACGTTAAAATCAGTATTTAGAAGATGATCAATTTTAAAAAAGCATTTTGGACCAAAACATTTCTAATACGAATGTTAAAATCATTCTATCATCTGATACTTCGTGGAAATTTGTTAACAAATGTAATCGCCTAGAACCCCGCACCATCTTCACACCTTATTTCTGGTGTTCGTGGTATTCGAAGGTTTGGTATAGATCACCTTTCGTCTTGGCAAAAATCAAGCACTCATCCACGTAAGACTTGGCGCAGTCACAAGTTTCCATTCAATAAATACAAATACATACATGCATGCAATCATCTCTATATTTCAACCTGCTGTAACTCAATTCTCATCTGCAGCCCAAACATTCCAGCAGAGTCTAATCATATTAGTAAATTTCCCCGAAATAATTGTAAAGTCTGGTTTAATTGGTGCATGTTGTTCAAGGGGGTATTTAAAACATGGACGAATACAATGGGTAGGTACACCAATTTTTGTGGGAAAATTTATTACAACAAAGAATGAGAAAACGGGTTTTTTGGGATTCAATCGAAAGTGTTGGCAGGAACGGAAAAATGTTTAGAATAAGGTTTTTAGGTATTTATGAGACCCATAAAATGAGGCTACACGTAAAAAGATCCGACTAATATCAAAATTGTTATGACCGAAAAACGAGGCAAAAGCAGGTTTTGGCACTTGATGGTAATGCGACAATAATTTCACGCACCTACTTGAAATTCGTCACAACCGTAGGATTCATACTTCTAAATAACAACAACAAAATTGGAGTATATTGGTAAAGTAATTTTTGAGAAATTCTAATTGTTTATCCCAAAACACATGTTCTCCTCTCATCACTTCTAGTTTATTGAGCTGATAAAACAACAATTTTCCTCGGGTTTCAATTAATAAGTCTACACATTTTTACATCTTTCCATATTGTGAATCA